TTTGAGGGAAAAAAAAAGACGTTTAAGTGCGCCTTATAGTCATGAAAATACGGTATACATAAATTCAGATTGTCTTATCAGGAAGATCCAGTGTAACATTTTAAAGTGGTATCGGGTTTTAAAGCAAGTTGAAAGCACCTTATAGAGTCTTTTATAGCCATCATCTAAAAATAAAGAGGATTTAGCTTACAGAAGGTTTAGACTGTCCAACAAACCTGAAGGCCTAGCTGAAAGAGAATTTTTACAGAATCAGCAAAAAAGCCTTATAATAACTCTATAATCCACTATTTTAGAGGGGAGCATCTGCGACACAGCTGCTAACAATCGTGCTAATCTGATCTTTTTTTAAGAGTTGGAAGAGAAAACCTATTTAAACAAAAGCCTGTAAAATTCTTGAAATCTTCTACCTACATGCAATTAACCATGAACACCCTGGCCTCAAGAATAAAGGTAGAGAGTAAGCTAGATAGACTTAAATAAAGATCCTGGGAAAGGATTACAATGCATTGACTTTCGGACTTTCAGAGTTTAATTGGTACAACCTTTGCATAACAAGCTTCACTGTTTTACTACCATGGGGTAATGCCCTTGTTTGTGTGGCCTATTACAAAAAGAAAAACCAGAAAATTGCGTTAAAGTTTGTTGAAGGTTGTAATGTGACAAAAATATCGAAAACACTTTAACAAGGCACTTTATCCATGTGTTCGCATTACAAACATTTAAGGAGGAAACATAAATCTTTCTGAGAACCTTCTGACATTTGCTTTTAGGTAAGGTTTATGAACTTGTAACGTCCTAAAAGCCTCAGGGTCTGTAAAAATGCGTTTGTCCGTGAACGTCACACAAAATAAAAGGTCACTTCTAGAGGTGATTAATGTGCATATAAGGCAAGTGAGAACTTGGGGTGCTAGTTCCAACTTTTTGATTGATTTATGCATTCTGTCTATTCTATTTTGGTTTCCTTGCTAGAAGTTCAGTGGTGCATAGATCTTTTAAAGATTTGTACAAATCTGTATATCTTCTTTTTCACCTTGCTCTTAAGGCTGGTCTAATAAAAAATGCCTACTTGAAATAATAATAATTGATTCATTTGTGTTAGTAACTAGCTACTAGTTAACAAATAACCTGACTTAATATAGCCTCTTATGTGGCATTTGATCTAAAACCTCTAAAAATGCATAATAATTATTTGACTGTTTTAGTAAATCATTAAACATAGCTGCTAGCATGTACAGTTAGTCTATCATGGACAGCATTAGAAGATATATTTCATTATTATTGCTCAAGGACACTAACGTCAGACATTTAACATCTGAAACAGTCTAAGTGTGTCCTTTAGTTTCTGGTCCTAAACACTGTGTTCTGCATCAGACCTTGCACATGTTGTTCCTCCCTACAGAGTGAGGTCAGGTCACATCCCACAGTTTTTACCGGCATCTTTGTGGCCTTAGCTTGTTTCACATAGAGAGAAACAAGCA